GCCTCGCCCTCGGACGGCGGCGCGGGAGGCAGCGCCACCTCTGCCCACGCCATGTCCTCGTCGTCGGCGGCCAGGTAGTAGTGCGCCACGAGCTCCCCTGCCGCGTGGCCATCTTGGTGCCAGCCCATGTTTGCGCCGAGCGCCGGGTTGAAGAGCTCGAACGAGCCCGCCAACGAGCGCAGCTCCGGCGTCACCGAGCGCCACGCGTCAAACACGCGCTCGCGGACAAAGGAGAGCAGCCGCTCGTGTTGCGCGGGCGAGAAGAAGTCACCGTCGCACGCGTCGCCGCCCGGGTCGGCGTGCAGCCGGAAGCACGCGCCGCGGCCTCCTGATACGGACGAGTCTGGCACGGAGGCCCACAGCTCCTTTAGGAGCCGGTCGTGCGCCGCCGCTGCGACGCCACTTGGTGGAGAGAGGATAGCGAGAGGCGCGCTTGTCGACTCGCTGCGAGCGATAAGCGTGACCGATGAGTGGCTGCCGCTGCCGCACGGAATCTCGGCCACTATGAGATCATCGCCCCGCATGACGACAACTCAATTTTATCGATCAACACTTTCGCTAGACCGAAAGTAAGATCGTTCGGTGCAGAAACCCCGGCCATGCCCAGAGAGAGAGATTTTTAGCAATACCAAACAACTCTAACACTCACACGTAATTTGGGGCCTGGAGCCCTGTTCACGCGCGCGCGAGACGTGCAGACAGGGTTGCCAGGTGAGAGCGAATGGCGCGGTTCACGCCTCGCACAACAGAGAGAGAGATGCGCTCTGCATGGTGGGACATAAAAGAGAGCGAGTACTTGGGCGAGTAGGCCGTGCGGTCAACGCTGCCGCGCGCGACTTTGCGCGCGAGGTCATGCCGGCGGCCTCGCCTCTGGGAGGGTTGACGGTCGTGTTGCCCGCCAGCGACACCTGTGTCAGCCAGAAGGCGAGAGGATGACTCTTGCGAGAAGCGTAGTGCCACGTGCACGCAAACACACGCCTGCTTGTCGGCAAGCGGCGGCGGAGCAGGAGAGAGCTTGAGAACGAGCTTGTTACCGGCGGCCGGCACGAACTCGAGTTTGAGCTTTTCGAGCATGTTTAGCCTGCAGTGCAAGATACGCACGCCAATGCGTCAATACGGCCGGACGAGTATAAAAGCAATCATCAATTATGAACTAATAACTATTACGTATGCAGCTGCTGCAGGCTAAACATGCTCTGAGGATTACTGCAGACCGCTGTGCGACACATGCTGCGGACTTCCGCGGACTACTACCGCACTGCTGCGCATTATTACTGCCGAGTACTGCATTATTACTATCACGATTTCTGTGGACTGCAAGTTCTCAATTAATGACTATTGATTATTATGAGTCGCCCAGTACAGCGCTGCAGCTGCTGCACCAACTACTGCGACTACTACTGCAGACTGCGCATTAGTGCTGTCACTACTGCCGATACACGCTATTACTGAGGATCACTACAGACTACTGACTAATGCTGCGGACTACTGCGCAGTACCGCGGAACGGATGCTGCGGATTACTGCGGACTGTTGCGGACTGTTGCGGATTATTGCTAATGCGTACTGCTGCGCATACACATAATTAGGACTGCAGACTGCTGCGGACTGCTGCGGACTGCTGCGGACTACTGCGCATTATCAGCAGACTGAATTTGTGGT